CCACCACCTTACATTTCGGCCGACGACCATGAAATTGGGGCCGACCGAGGAAGGCGAAAGTGCGCCGGAGGTGCTCCGTCGTCCGTTGATGTCCCCGCCATATCTCGCATCACTTTGAATACCGTGAGCTGCGACCTACTTCCCCTAGTTTTTGGGAAGATGATTCCGTGATTCACCGTCCCCTTGACGTAGCGTAGTAGCCGCTTCACTGCAGCCCAGTGATCCTCTCTGGGATCCTCCATGAAGCGACTGACGTAGCCCACGGCGAACGTAATGTCCGGCCTTGTGTGGACTAGGTAGCGCAGACCACTGACGATGCTCCAGTAGAATGTTGCATCTACTTTTTCCGCGGTGCTGTCCTTCGTCAGCTTCAGCCGCTCCTCCATCGGAGTCACGCATGGCTTGCACTCCACCATGCCGCTCATCTCCAACAGCTTGGAGGCATACGCGCTTTGCCCGAGCGTGAGTTCATCCTTCCCCTGTCTCACCTCGATGCCGAGGTAGTAGGAGAGAGCGTCGAGATCGCTCATTCTAAAACGAGCTGCCATCTCTCTCTTGAAGCTGTTGATATCCTCCGTGCGCGCGCTGGTGACGATTAAGTCATCCACATACACGCCGACCACGAGTTCTTCCTTCCCCCGTCGTTGCGTGTAGAGCGCGTGCTCAGTTGCGTACCTCTGAAACCCAAGCTCGCCCAGCGTGGTGTCAAGCTTGGCGTTCCATGCTCGAGGGGATTGCCTCAGCCCGTAGAGCGCTTTGCGTAGTCGGAGCACCCTGGGCTCCTCTCCCTTGACAGCGAACCCTGGAGGTCGCCTGACGAAGACCGTTTCCGCCAGCTCACCATTGAGGAAGGCCGATTTAACGTCCAAGTGATGGACATGCCAGTCCTTTGCTACCGCCAAAGCAAGTAGCAAACGGACCGACTCCATGCGCGCTACTGGTGCAAAGACCTCCTCGAAGTCGATGCCCTCGCGCTAGACAAAGCCTCGGGCGACGAGGCGCGCCTTGTACTTGACAATGGCACCGAGCTCATCCCTTTTGACTTTGTACACCCACTTCAAGCTGATCGGACGGCATCCTGGGGGTGGATCGACGAGCTGCCAAGTCTTATTTTCCTCGATCGCCTTCATCTCCTCCAGAATTGCCCGTCGCCAGTTTCCATCACGCTCGGCTAGCGCGAACGTGGGTGGTTCCTCTGCACTGACGAGTAGCAGCTCTGCGTCGTTGAGCATCCTACCCGCCAGACCTGAGGGACCTGTGCCGTCGACGATGTCGTCCAGCCTGCGGAACCTCAACTCCTCACCTTCGTGGTAGGCGTCCACGAACTCAGTGATGTCACTTGGAGGTGAGGTAAACTCGATTGGGGGTGATGGAGTTCCTTCTTCCGCCGGAGTGCCCTGCATAGCACCTGAAGTGCTCAGCACTGCTTCTGGACTGCTCGTCATAACTCCTACAGTGTTCGGCCACACTGTAGGAGTGTCCAGCCTCAGTCTTGGAGTGGTCGGAACCACAGTAAGACGTCTTGGCTCCGCCACGGGAGTGCTCGGCACCCGTCCTAAAGTGGTCGCCACCACTGCAGAACCTCCTGGCTCCACTCCTGACGTGCTCGGCATCCTTCTAGAAGTGCTCGACACTCTTCCCGGAGTGCTCGGTATCCCTCCTGAAGTGCTCGGTACTGCCCCAGAAGTGCTCGACTCTACCGCCGGAGTGCTCGGCGCTCCTCCCGGAGTGCGTGGCACCTGTTCCGCAGCGTCTCCACTGCCGTGGATGACCAAGTGCTCGACGACGAAGGTGTTGGTGAAGCCTCCCGCTTCCCCCGTGCTCGGACTATGCCAGTCCCAAGCTTCCTCCTCGTTGAACACAACGTCACGCGAGACAGTCACCTTGTCTCCGCGTGGGTCATAGAGCCGGTATGCCTTGGTACCCTCCGCGTAGCCCAGGAACACCATGGGTGTGCTCCTGTCCTCCAGCTTGGTGAGGTTCGGCTTCGTCTTCCTGACATGGCCGATGCAACCGAATGTCCGGAGGAATGACACGTTCGGCTTGCACCCGTACCAAGCTTCGAACGGCGTCTTGCCCGTTAGGGCTTTGGTTGGAGCGCGGTTGAGGATGAACACCGCCGTGGTCACCGCCTCTTACCAGAATTTTGTCGGCATCCCTTTGGCCTTCATCATGGATCGGGCCATGCCGACCACTGTCTGGTTCCGTCGCTCCACCACGCCATTCTGTTGTGGCGAGTGCGGTGCGGTGTGATGTTGCCCCACACCTTGATCCGCGCAGTACGTAGCAAACTCCACCGAAGTGAATTCACCACCCCGATCAGTCCTCAGTACACGGAGCTTCTTGCCGCTCTCGGCCTCCGCGCGCGTCTTGAACTTCTTGATCGCCACCGCCGCTTCGTCCTTGCTCATCAGGAGTTGCAGCCACATGTAGCGACTGCAATCGTCCATGAGTAGGAGGAAGTACCACCGACCACCGCATGTAGCAGGCGTGATCGGCCCGCAGAGGTCGCCGTGAACTAGCTCGAGAGCTTCCTTCGCGCGATACTTGGCCGCCTTTGGGAAAGGTAGCCTCCTCTGCTTTCCGGCCAGGCAGCTGTCACACAGCTCGCCTCTGTGTTTGATGTGGGGTATCCCTCGGACCATCTTCCCCAGCCGACCAAGCACATCGAAGCTGAGATGTCCGAACCGGGCATGCCACATCCACGGTTCCTCGGAGTGCCTTGTCGCTAGGCAAACCGGCTGCTCTACCTTCAGGTCGAGCAGGTACAACTGGTTCAGGGACCTCTTCACCATGGCGAGAAGTCGCTGCTCCCGGTCTCTGATCCTTAGAACGTCGTCCTTGATCAGAACCTCGCTACCGCACTCATCCAGCTGACCAATGCTAATGATCTCGAACGCAGCCTACGGATGTAGTATACATCCGTTAGCGCCATGCTGCTCCTGCTCGGCATCTCGAAGATGATGGTGCCGCGCCCTTGGATAGCCACCCTTGAGCCGTCACCAAACTTCACCGTACCGGTAACATCACTGTCGAGCTCAGAGAAGGAGTCCTTGGAGCCCGTCATGTGGTTACTGGCACCAGAGTCCAGATACCACCGCTGCTCCTGGTCGACGACCACATGCCCAAGATGGACTTGGGGGCGTGGTTCGTCGAGGTTGACGGTCTTCAGGACCTTGCTAGATCCTTCCACCGTCGTCGCCTCTTCCCTCTCCATGGCCTCGACGTCATGCAGTGCACAGAACGTCGCCACAAGGATAGTGGCCTCATCCTCATCATCGGCTTTCGCCAGGTGAGCCTGAGCCTTCTTTTCCTTCTTGCGATTTGGGCACTCCCGTGCCCAATGGCCCATCTTCCCGCAACACCGACAGGCATTGGAGTCGATTTGCTTCTTCTCCGAAGAAGCCCTGCCGCGATGTTTGCCGTTTCCACCGCGACTGGAGGAGGCTGCCTTCCCGGAGTTTCGCCGAGCAGCCCACTCCTCTTCCGTCAGCAGGAGTTTCGCTGTCGCCGTTCTTATCGCGCCGCTCAAGCGCTCGTCCACCGCCCGTAGACGGCCTGCCACATCCTCGATGGTGAGGGTGGACAAGTCCAGCATTGTCTCTATGGAGAGAGCGATCTGGATGTACTTTGCCTAAGACGCGAAGTGGAGGAATTTGAGACCGCCTCCTCTTCGTCGATGGTGACGCCGTGGCTCTTCAGCTTGTTGATGAGCGTCTGCAGGCGGAGGGAGAAGTCCTCCACTTTTTCACCATCCTTGAACTTGAGGTTTGCATACTCCTGCTTCAGAAGCTGGGCCATTGTCTTCTTTGCGCGGTCGGAACCGACGCGCATCGCCGCAATGGCCTCCCACGCCTCCTTAGCTGAGCTCTTCGTCCCCAACGGTTCCCTATACTCCGCCGGTACAGAGCGAGGATAGCCTCCAACGCCGACATGTCGTCTTCTTCCACATCGGTGCCCTTGTCAGCAGACATTCCGAGCCGTCGGGCTCGAAGCTTGACCTTCATGGTCACCGACCACTCTCCATAGTTAGTGCGAGTCGGCGTTGGCCAAGTGGTCTTCTTGACCTCCCGCTTGCCGGCGGACAACTATCTCCGGTAGTGGTCGGGCAGCGATAGCGGCAACGCCATCGCCCAACTCCAAACCGTCGTCCTCGCCATCGGTTAGAATGGCGACGGGCGCTTGTCTGGCTCCGATATCACTTGTTGGCCCACGGGATCACCGTCTGGCGATAGTGAACTAGTCTCAGACCACTAGTCTCCCAGACCACTAGTCTCCCAGGCCAGACCACTAGTCTCCCAGACCACTAGTCTTCCAGGCCAGACCACTAGTCTTCCCGGACCACTAGTCTCCCGGACCACTATACCGGTTGTGTCCGTACACCACCACTCACTGGATCGAGCTAGAAGAAGAAGGAGAACAGAGCAAGCACGCACAATACAAGACAACAACGTTGGCGAGGCCCCTATACGTGTGATGGCAAATCTGAGCTCTCTTTATCGAGTTGTCATACATGTCTATTTATACAACTCTAACTATCTAGTCCATGTCTGGCGCCCATGTCTTGCACAATAACTAGATAACCCGATGGTGACTCTACGCCGCCTTCGCCTGTTCCAATGATCTTTGCATGTGAGCCATGCGGCGCCTGCACCTACAGCGACTACTGTATCACAGCAGGGGGCAAAGTCGGCGCCGCCTTCCCTTGCTGTGTTCACACACAGCAGGCAGCTAAGTCGACGCCGTCTTCATCTGCTGTGTTCACACAAGGTGGCAGTAGATTAGCTAACAAAGACTTCACCAACAAATGGTGAGAGGACACATTAACACTAGCATGCTATTTCTACATAAAACTATGCTAACCTCTCTTAGACTCATTTAACAGTGAGCTATTCATCCATAGGTTCAAGTTAGGATGAGCTGCACTGCTAAAAGCTAGCAAGCTAATCATTTTTAGCGAAACAACTTGGAACAGATAGATTCAGCTTAAGATAAACTGCTCATGCCTTACGGAACTTGCTTGTCTTCTCAAGTGCATCCATTACAACAGCAGGACAGGTTCTTTTCAGATTCTTGTAACCTTGAGTTGACAGCAAATCGTCCATCACATTTGAACAGGTGATAAATTCAATGCAAGCCTCCTTAAGTAGGTCACAATTATGTTGGTCAGCTAAAGCCAAGGTTTTTAATTTCGGTATCGCCAAAATTTCGGCCACCACCGAAATTACCGAATTTCGCGAAATTCGGCCGAAATTTTGCTGAAATTTTTTTAGAGATTAGCACATGAAGTATGTTTTTTCTAAAAAAATTTGGATCTAAACAAATATTAGTATGATTTATGACTACATATCTATTAAATAGAAGAATATGCAATATAAACAATAGAAAAATATAAGATTAGAGTTATATAGCACATGTATTAGTGTATTAAAAAATTTCGGAGTTTTTTTTCGGCCACCACCGAAATTACCGAATTTCGTAAAATTCGGCCGAAATTTCGCCACGGTCTGCACATTAAGATTTTCACAAAGAAAGCTTTGGCAAATGAGCTTTAGCCTCTCGATGGCATATCGATCTGCAGCCACAACCAAGTGACGGATCATTTCACTATGATCATCTGCCTCAAGATCATCCAAGGGAGGCAAAGAGTCGGTATAGATGAAATGCAGCAAGGCCCTGAAAACATCTGGTTGCACATCTTTAATGGTTATAGGCCCCATTCCTTCCTCTTTCATAGGCCCGTAGAGCTCAGCTTTGAACACAGGTGACCGTGTGGCAAGGACAATCTTGTGTGCCTTGAAAGTCTTAGCTCCCACACTGAATGTGACATCCGCTCCCAAATCTGTTTCCAGCAGACTACCAAAATGCTCAGCCATGTTGGACGGTGGCACTTCGATTCTGGGAAATGATTTGGGTTTAGGTACCTGTGGTTCTTTGATAACAGTGACAATGCACTCGACTGTGAGGCGATCATTCTGGAGGTATGTTGGCGATTCTAACAGGCTCCTTTTTATCCAGCAAATAGCTACCATGTTATTATCATCATCATCGAACACCTTCGGTGCCTCCTTGTGCACCGTGAAGGGCAACCCAGTGCTCTGGTTGACCAACCTCAGCTCGAAGGACGCCGGTACCCCCGCGGCAACAGGGTTCAAGAGCATGAGCGAAATTGCGATGCAATCAGGGTGGTTTTTTGTTGTAGATATGTTAGCCCATCGGCTAACCCAGAAGGCCTGCAGCAGCCCGAGTCGTCGAGCCCAGGAGAGCTCTGACTAGTGATCACTGAACCGGTGCGGGCCGGGTCGTCGAGCCCAGGAGTGCGCCGACCCAGGCGGCCCAGTACGCGCTTCTTCGGCCCGTCGTGGTCCAACAGCTAGCTGGGAGCGTGGCGTGTGTAAGGGGGTTGATCGTATATGTATCTGCTCTGAGAGTTGGAGAGGGTACCGAAGAAACCTGTAACAATTACATTGTTCTAAATTCAAGTACTCATCCTCTGTTCTACGCTATCCTCTGCTTGCTGCCTATCCCAATTCCCTTGCTGCTAACAAGAAATCAGCCATAAGAAGCATTTCCCAGTCATGGCCGCCGACGGAGAAATGGCCGGACAGTATGGATTTATCCTTGTGAGCGCCGATGGCCTTTTGCTGGCTGTACCCGACGACGTGAAACACGTGCGTGCCTAGCTCCGTCTCCGCGGCGCTCGTCGACACCGTCTTCGAGGCCGGCATCTTTGCGGCGGTGGCGCCGACGATCGCCTGATGGGTGGCAGATGCGATAGGACGGCGATATATGACGTGAAACACATGGTTGTGGAAAATACAACTTGACGAGGTGGAGTGGATCGAACCTTTTGCAGCGGTGGTGGCCGAAGGATTGGGCGGCGGCAGCGGCGGCGGAGCCGAAGAAGACGGCGACGTAGGGGATCGGTTCCCCCTCTATATGTGCGGCCTTCTTCCTTTTCTGGTCACAGGCCGGCCCTTCTCTCTCTTAAAAAAAAGGCCCAAGACGCCGGATTCGTGTTTCTAATTTGACAATTACGAAGATTGCTAGTTTGATTTTTTGGGAAACAAATAGTCGAATTATCCACCAAATTTTATAATTTTATTTTGAAAGATAACCCAATTTATATTTTTCTTAGAAAAAATGGGTTTCCATGATTTATCCCGGTGAGCAAACCCAAGCCTAGCGTCTGTCATTAGCATCTCCCCTTTTGCCATTGGTAGATAAACCAAAAGATTCTTTCTCTTACTCCCTTCATCCTAAAAAGAATCTAATTACCATTTTCCAAAAAAGTTAAATAATTATATTTCCCAAGAAAATAAATAATTAAAGTTTAACTAAATTTATACAAAAGAAATTACTAAGAATTATGATACAAAATAAATATCAGTAAATTGATTATGAAATATATTTCTATTGTAAATCTTTTTGGAGACATAAATGTTGATACTATTTGCCAATGGGGATTTAGCGGGCGGTACTAGAGGCAGCGGACCACTATAAATTTATTAGTCAACTTAAGAAAGTTTGACTCAACCCAGATCTAAAATTGCATTCTTTTTTATTATATTATTAGGTAAAATTTACTGGCAGTCCCTCTATTTGCGTGGTGTGTTATCTGACCCTAACTCACGAGAGTTAGAGAACTAGACGACACAGTCATACAAGTTTAAAGACCATTGTGAATTTACTCTAGATTATTATTACTCATCAGGGATCCTATCCGCCTTCTTCCAACACTCGGGGAATAAGATCGGGAGGCACTGTTGCCGGTCACCGCATAAGCCAAGAGGAGGGCCAGCACATCATCGGCTGGTCGACATTGGTGAAGATGACACTGCTGTCCCATCGGAGAAGAACAGATAGTGCTCAAGGTTCTAAATCGTCTCTGCTATAGCTACCGCTACCTCTAGATATAACTGTTTGTAGAGATAAATCTATTTAGTCATGTGTATAATTTAGCAGCTATTAGCCATTATAGCCCGAATTAGCTGGTTGGGAAGGGTGATCACTAGACGTCATAGCCCGCTATTTAAAACGCTGGGTCGCTGGTAGTGCTCTGCGGCTCTGCCGCTTACCAAGTGCACGTATCTCCACGCCGATCCTAGTGTTAGCACCACACACCGAACTGAACTGAATTGTTCTACTTTCCCGTCACATGAAAGCTAGCAAAAACCCACGTTCCAGTCGGGCGGCAGAGCTTTGGCCTTCTGATTACCTGGCAAGGCAGGGCCTTTTGATTAGGTTCTTCGATCTTCTTCCTGCTTGGCAGCCAGAAACCTCAAATGCCTTATGCCTGCACCAAACAGAGGTAGCGGCCCGCCTTCCTCCTCGCGCTCCCAGCTTCCAAAACAGAGCAGCAACGACGTCCAGCCAAAGCCCATACATGGGTCACGGTCGAAGGCGCTATATATACAGGACCTGTTTGTCATGGCTCTACTCCAGAACTCCAGTAAAAATTCCAGCCAAACACTCCAGCTCCAAAACTCCTTAGAGCTGCCAACTCCATAGTGCAAATAGGGGTGGAGTTTTGGAGCACCTCTTTTGTAACTCCAGAACCACCTCTTTTGAACCTCCTCGTGGAGTTGGTGGGTAATTACCCACCAATGCCTCTGGTTACAAAAAAAAAAAGGTTCGTTCTTTTCCTCCTGAGACTCCCCCCACACCTGTTTTTCTCCGTCCCGCGCCTGTTTCCTCCGACGCTAGGGTTTCGGCCGCCGCCACCCACACCGGCGGCCGTCGTCCACCCACGCCGCCGGAAGCCGGAGCCTTTCCCAGCCGCCCTAGCCCCTCTCGGCCGCCGTGAATCCGAGTCCCGCCGCCGTCAATCCGAGAGCGAGTGAGCAGTGCGTGCCGACGAAGCTGGCCGTGCCCGTCACCAGCGCCGATATCCCTAGCCCGCCCGCGGACCCCGGCGGCCTCCTCGGCGCGGGAGACCCGTGGATCTGCCGCTCCTAGTGGAGGCCGCCCCAGGAAGCGCCCGTCACCAGCATCGACATCCCCCGTCGACCGTAGAACAAGGTATTTTTTCAGTTTTGATTCAAAAATTGATTCACAGTATGATTAGAAGTTGGATTTGTGGGAGTGAACTGTGTGCTATGCTGCAATCCTAGATTCACAGTAGATATTTTGCAATCCAAAATTTGTGGCGGTTGTGAGTCAAATAGAAGAGGATAAAATAAGTTCAAACACTCATCTGTTCGTAATGTTATTGAACGCTCATTTGGAGTATTAAAAATAAAATGGCAAATCCTTTACAAGATGCCCGGTTATTCAATGGTCACACAAAAGAAGATTGTTGCTGCTACCATGGTTCTACACAATTTCATACGTGAACATGCTAGTGTTGATGTGGACTTTGCTAATTTTGATAGAGATCCTACCTACATGTCTACTATTCCGGAAAGGTACAACAAGTATGTCGTGACTCAACATGCCTATGATGGATAACTTCGGAATCAAGCTTTGTGACTATGGACACCTTTCGTGATAGTATGGCTACATCCATCGCCCTAGCATGGAACTAGTGCAATGATTATTGTAACGACCTTATTTTCGAAATATGAACTTATTTCGTAATTTCGGTTTAGGCAAATGACATTAATTTATTATTATTTTGGACTTCACTCCATGTACTTTCATTTCATATTTGTGAGAAGCAGTTCAAGTCGAACCAGGGGCAAGAATGGCAATCTACCCTCAAACTCCTCTTTTCTGGAGCCGAGGACACCCTCTCAGCCAAACACCTCCATCAGACAGCTCCAACTCCACCCAGAGCTGGCTCCACCTGGAGTTCTGGAGTGGAGCAGCTCCACCCAGAGTTGGAGTCATGCCAAACAGGGCCATACCTGCGCCGGGCCACCACCGCACACTGCACCGTGCGCACCTCGCTCGCTCCTGCGTCTAGGTGCCGCACGCCGCCCGTCCGCTCACCGGCCGGGGAGGGCTCAGAAACCTTCCACCCCATACATACATCTCTGAGCCCTTTCCGTGGTGAGGTGCCGGACGACCGAGCCGGCCGGCCGGCGTCCACACACACACAATGTCGATGGCGACCGTAATAAGGAGCCGCCCCCTGTCCCTTCTCTTCTACGTCGTCCTCGCCGCGGTTGCAGCCGTGGTGCAGGCATCAATAATAATAACATCACCTCCGACGAGGAGTACTAGGTGGAGCGCGCCGAGGCGGCGCGCTCGCGCAACCGCGCCGCCTACGTAAAAAACCGCTTCAACGTGGACGTGCTAAGGGCGACGACGTGGCGTGCCCTGGCGAGGTACAACGGCCCGTGCATGGCGATGAACCCCATCGACCGGTGCTGGCGCTGCCGCGCCGACTGGGCGGCGGACCGGAAGCGCCTGGCGCAGTGCGCGCGGGTTCGGCCACAAGACCGGCGGCGGCGCGCCCGGGAAGCTGTACGTGGTGACGGACCCGAGCGACGACGAGATCATCATCCCGCGGAAGGGCACGCTGCGGCACGCCGTGATCCAGGAACGGCCGCTGTGGATCGTGTTCGCGCGCGACATGGTGATCCGGCTGCGGCAGGAGCTGATCGTGACCAGCAACAAGACCATCGACGGGCGCGGCGCGCAGGTGCACATCGTGTTCGCGCAGATCACGCTGCAGAACGTGCACGACGTCATCCTCCACAACCTCCACATTCACGACGCCAAGGCGCACTCGGGCGGCATGATCCGCGACTCCAAGCGCCACTACGGCCTGCGCACGCGGAGCGACGGCGACGGCATCTCCGTGCTCTCGTCCAGCAACGTGTGGATCGAGCACGTGTCCATGTCGTCCTGCGCCGACGGGCTCATCGACGTCGTGAACGGGTCGACGGCCATCACCGTGTCCAACAGCCACTTCACGCGCCACGACCACGTGATGCTGCGGCGCCAGCAACGACAACCCGCAGGACGAGGTGATGCAGATCACCGTGGCGTTCAACCACTTCGGCAGGGGGCTGGTGCAGCGGATGCCGCGGTGCCGCTACGGCTTCTTTCACGTGGTGAACAACGACTACACGCACTGGCTCATGTACGCCATCGGCGGGAACAAGAACCCCACCATCATCAGCCAGGGGAACCGCTTCATCGCCCCCGACGACCCCAACGCCAAGGAGGTGACCAAGCGGGAGTACACGCCGTACAAGGACTACAAGGAGTGGGTGTGGAAGTCGCAGGGCGACGTCATGATGAACGGCGCCTTCTTCAACGAGTCCGGCGGCCAGAACGAGCGCAAGTACGACAAGTTCGACTTCATCCCGGCCAAGCACGGCCGCTACGTCGGCCAGCTCACGCGCTTCGCCGGACCACTCAAGTGCATCGTCGGCCAACCGTGCTAGCCGGCGCATGCACGCGTCCGGCCTTGTTCGAACACGTTTGTTATTTGTGCTGTCGGATCGAGGGAGGCACAGAAGAGAACCCAAACCATACTCCTTCCTCGATCACTGAGTACAGATGATCTGCTTCAGCTCGTCCATCAGGGAAAAACGCAAACTAGCTATATGCCTCCAAATAGCAAACTCTTCGATCAACATCTTATATGATGATGAGACTGAACTGAACTTCATCCTGCGTTGACTGAAATAACAAGTCTACATAACCACCTTAAGTATTGAGGTTCTTCTACTTATAATCCCCCTAAACTACAAAAGTAGGCCTGCATATCCCATTCGATAATGCTGGGAAGCGGGCATCCCTCCGCACGGACGGAGCGTTGGTGGGCTGCGAC